GTTTTTCTCACTTGATTTAATTCCCAAAAAAAGGAAAAAAAAAAAAAAGAAAAAGAAAAAAAGAAAAAGAAAGAAATTAAGTTTTTTTCCAATTGAAAAAAGAGTTGGTGGCTCCGATTTATCCAAGGTCTCGAAGAGTCGCGACATGTGACAGCTCTTGTGTCGTGCTGAAATTCATTACACGGCATGAAAAGGCCAGAACCATAAAAAGCAGAAGCTGCTGCCATCTTTTCCACTATGAAATTCCTGTCGTTCTCCATAGAGAGCTCATAACACTTGGTTTACCTGCACGTAACTCCTGGCTCAGAAGAAATTATCCAACTTAACTTCTCTTTTTTTCATTAAAAAAATAAAATATTCACGACTATTCCGCTTTTATATAAAATATCAGCAAGCCCCAAAGAAAAAACTAAACTCAAATAAAAAAAACCAAAACCCAAAAAACACCAAAAACATCCATTGCTGAGGTAACGTCATACCTTGAGGTAGCTTTTTTTTTTTGCTTTTATCTTCTTTTTTTTCTTTTTTTTCCTCTTTTTTGTCTTTTTCTCTTTTTGATGTTGGCTTCGTCGTTGTCTCATTGCTCGAACACACGGCAATACCTGGCCTGCTCCCCCCACACACCTACATCTCCCTGGTGTTGCAATGGTTTCAAGGACAGGACCTGCTGCCACCTTCCCTTCTCTCAATGAAAGCCACTTTCCTGGCCTGCTGCATGAGCTGGGCTTGGATTTGGAGAAGGAGCCCAGGAAAACGGCAGCTGGAGCAGGAAGGCTGGTCTCCACTTGGGAAAAGAACTGGTCAAAAGCACCAGCTTGAGGTTTGTTCCCAATTGCCTCTTTTTAGCTGCAAATTGGCTCACCCAGGAGCTGCTCTCCCAGGTCTCCTCCCGGCCGCTGCGTGCGGGGATCCAGCATCATCCCTCTCCCTACAATGAATCCCAATGTTGCTTTCCCACCCTCCCGCTCCAATTTGCGGGAAAAAATCAGTGTAAATCCACATTTTGGCTGGATTTGCAGTGGAAAAACCACGTTGTGGGTGCCCCACCATGGAGACAAGCCCTTCCCCTGCCTGGAAGAGGTGATGGCAGCAGTTACTGTCCCTTCCAAATACTCACTATTAAAACCAAATCATTCCAATAGGTCTACAACAGCAAATCCACGTAAGAGTGACGGGAATCAGTAACCATATTACATTCGGTTGACGTATATATTTGGTATCGTCTCATGAGAACAGTGATTCTTACTGCAGAAAGGAGGGTGGTGGGTGGGTTTGTTCTTTAAATAATGAAGAACTATCATCATAACTGAGAAATAGGCACCAAATGTGCCAATTTCAGGACTCTTTTTTTCCCCGTCTAGAGAGATTTGGAAGAAGGGGTTGGAATGAGATGATCTTTACGGTTCCTTCCAACCCAAACCATTCTCTAAGTCACAAATAGCTCCAGGGGAGTTCACTCATCAAAAGACTCCCTGCATGTTTCCTCAAAAACCCTGGAGGCTCTGATGGGATTTTGGGGCACAAACCTCCTGCTCCAGGTGGGGAAACCAAGGCTGAGGATGCACCAAAGGAACTGGGTACAAAACCAGCCCCGGAGCAGCAGCAAAGCTGAGTTCCCTGTGCTGGGCATCTCCTTGCTCAACCCTCCAACCCTCCAAACTGTTCTGCACGTGTTTAGTTCCCATCATCTGATTACTAAAGAGATGAAGATGAATTCAATGTTTCCTACCAAGCATGGGTGGGTTTTTTTGCTTTTCTTTCTCTTTTTGGTGGTGGTTTATTGCTGTTGCTTGAAGGGAAGAGGGAAAAGCAAATGTGCTTCCACAGCCTTTCCCTTCCCCAGGCAGTTTGCCTCGTCTCTAGGACGGGTTGTCACCTCCTCACGGAGAAAAATGGTCACTTGTCCCACTCCTGCCATTATTTCATAGGCTTAAAAAGAAATAAAAAATAATAAAAAAAAAGGAAATCTGTCTTTAAACTAACCTAAAAATGAAAAGAAACATTCAAACGACTGAAAAGGGAAGAAAAAAAAAACCATCCTGGGAAATAGAGGTGCTCTCCTGGCTTCTAAGGCTCTACAAGGCACTGCACTGCAGGCAGCACAGGCAGGAGGAATCCTGCCCTCCTGTGGTTCTGAGGCTGGAGCGGTGCAGAGCTCCCAAGGGACCCAAATCCGTTTGGTGCTAAGGTGAGGAGGGGATATTTCTTTTAATTATTACTACTTTTTCGCCCGCAATGGATCTTGTGACCAACAAATGTTGGTAAAAATCCACTGGGATTTCTCTTCCCAAAACTAAACCAAACCCATCAAAATTAACTGCTCCAAAAGGCTCAATGTCACTCTGGGAATATCCAACCAGCTGCAGGAGGGAGGGAGGGAAGATGCAGCCACTGGGATGGGAACCTCCAGAGGCTACTTAAAGGCAGCCGGTGCCGCGCCGGCCTCGGCATCACTGGCACCCTGCAGCACCTCTCGCTTCATTTAAGTAGCTGTCCTGGCACGTGGAGCTGAAACTGGATCCCGTGTTTTCCCTCACCCCTGCCATCTACCTCGGAAGCCAATCAAACTGCCTTTAATCTCGATGGGTTAATGAAAAGTTAGCATCTGTCTACGGTAACTGATTCCCAGCCACTCTTAAAGCCTGGCACTGGCTCGTTCCGCGCTTCCCGGTGGTGTCGGTGCTGCTCTTATTTCCTCCGTGCTTGTGTCTGACCGCTCTGTCCCTTCTGGTGCTGCTGCTTCACCTGCGCCAGGATGTCTCGGATCTTGCGCTGAGCCATCTGCGGATGAGAAGAGCCAAGGAGGGAGCAGGGGAATAACCCGGGTGAGACCCCAGGAGCAAGACAAATCACTCCGCTTATTGTGGAAGATCACAGAATCCTGGTTTGGGATGAAGGGACCTTAAAGCTCCTCCAGCTCCAACCCCTGCCCCGAGCAGGGACACCTTCCACTAGAGCAGGTTGCTCCAAGCCCCCGTGTCCAACCTGGCCTTGAACACTGCCAGGGATGGGGCAGCCACAGCTTCTGTGGGCACCCTGTGCCAGCGCCTCAGCACCCTCCCAGGGAAGAGCTTCTGCCCAAGAGCTCATCTCAGTCTCCCCTCTGGCAGGTTCAAGCCATTCCCCTTGTCCTGTCCCTCCATCCCTTGTCCAAAGCCCCTCTCCAGGTCTCCTGGAGCCCCTTTAGGCACTGGAGCTGCTCTAAGGTCTCTCTGGAGCCTTCTCTTCTCCAGGCTGATCAAACTCAGGCAGGTCAGATGCTGCAGTGCTCAGCAGGGCTGGGGGAAGCAGCTCTTGGCAGTCCCTTCCTGCCCTGTTTGCAGCGCGCTTTCCTCCAGAAGCTGGATTTGGGAGGTCATACCCCACATACACACACGCTCTCGCAGCTCTCCCTGCCTCCCCTACCATCACACCATCACCCACAGCAAAAAGCACAGCTCACCATCATCCACTCCTGCAACCACCACCAGAAAACGCTTGTAACAGGAGGATACACGCATGGACACAACCGCATACGAGCCACCAGAGAATCCACCATCACTTTGTGCAGGAGCTGCCCGGGTCATACCTGGCTGGCATAGAAGTGCCCAATGATCTTCACGATGACCTGCTCATTCTCATCAGGGGTCTGGTCCCGCGGCACCACCACCTCTGCTGCCGTCAGGTTCTGCAGCTCATTGACCTGCGGGGAAGGGGCAGAGGCCCCCCCAGTCACACTGTGCAGCAGGGACAAGCCCCTCTGGGAAATCCCGGCCAGTCCTATGGGAAGCGTGTCCCTGGGATGTCCTCAGGCACTGGCATGGAGCAGCCGCCCTTCCCGGGACATCCCTCCCTGGGACATCCCTCCCCGGGTGCTCCCACTTACGGTTTTGCCCCCTTTGCCGATGACCCTGCCCGCGGCCGAGGCGGGGACCCGGATGTGTGTCTCCAGCTTCACTTCTTCCTTCGGTCCAAAGAAGTTCTCTTCCTTCAGCTTCCCATAAATCCTGCCTTGTGCCTATGGAGGGAGCAGAGTCAGGCACCATCCGAGGTGTCCTACCCCTCACATGGGGCAGCATCCCAGCAAATCCCAGTTCCTTGAGGTTTTAAACCAACTCATCCCCTGGGAGAGCTGATGCTGGGTTCACCCAGCCACAGACGGGGGGGGTTAGAAGTGGGGTGACCACCCTCCTCCTCCCTTCCCAGCTCCATGGGGCAGTGAGAGGGACACCCCGAATCCCCCCCAGTGATGATAGCCCTGGGGGTAACCTTGAACTGAGCTTCTGGAGGGCCTGTGATGACCACCATGCGCACTTTGGAGTCCGGCGTCTCCGGAGGGGCAATCTGGAGGGGGAAGAGAGATGGTGGCTGCAGTGGGGAGCAGCACAAGCAGGGTGGCCGTTGCCCTCCTTCCCCTGCACCACAGGCCTGGGTCTCCAGCCCGACCGTCTGGGCTCTTCCAGTGGTTATCCCAGACAGAAAGGTCTCCCCCCGCTGGGACAACCCTACCTTGATAGAGGCACTTGCGAACCGGGAGAGCTGCTTGATGTGCTGGCCCTTCTTACCGATGATGGCCCCGACCGCCTGCGCGGGGATGAAGACGTGCACCGTCTCCTGCTCCGGAGGCTGTGGGTACAGAGGTCCGTGCAACCACAGGG